TGACTACTCCTTGCTGACCTTGGCTTGCTTCTTGATCCATGATCCTGTGGATTACCCAGTGCTGACTCTCGCTTGCTTCTTGCCCATGACCTTGCTGACTTTGGCTTGCTTCATGACCATGATCCTTCTAACTACTCATTGCGGACCTTGGTTTACTTATTGACCATGATCCTGATGACTACTCCTTGCTAACTCTGGCTTGCCTCTTGACCACAATCTTGCTGACTGTTCGTTGCTGACTTTGACTTGCTTTTGGTTCCATGATCCTGTGGATTACCCAATGCTGACTCTGGCTTGCTTCTTGCCCATGACCTTGCTGACTTTGGCTTACGTCATGACCATGATCCTTCTGACTGCTCATTGCGGACTTTGGTTTGCTTCTTGATCCATGATCCTGTGGATTACCCATCGCTGACCTTGGTTTGCTTCTTGTCCATGACCTTACTAACTACTCATTGCTGACTTTTGGCTTTCTTCATGACCATGATCTTTTCTGGCTACTCATTGCGGACCTTGGTTTGCTTATTGACCATGATCCTGCTGACTACTCATTGCTAACTCTGGCTTGCCTCTTGACCACAATCTTGCTGACTGCTCATTGCTGACCTTGGCTTGCTTATTGATCTGTGATACTGCAGATTACCCATTGCTGACCCTGGCTTGCTTTTTGCCCATGACCTTGCTGATTACTCATTGCTGACGTTGACTTGTTTCATGACCTCGATCCTTCTGACAACTCATTGCAGACCTTGGTTTTCTTCTTGTCCATGACCTTGCTAACTACTCATTGCTGACTTTGGCTTGCTTCATGTCCTTGATCCTTCTGACTACTCATTGCAGACCTTGGTTTGCTTCTTGTCCATGACCTTGCTAACTACTCCATTGCGGACCTTGGTTTGCTTATGGACCATGATCCTGCTGACTATTCCTTGCTAACTCTGGCTTGTCTCTTGACCACAATCTTCCTGACAGCTTGTTGCTGACTTTGACTTGCTTTTGGATCCATGATCCTGTGGATTACCCATCGCTGACCTTGGCATTCTTCTTGTCCATGACCTTGCTAACTACTCATTGCTGATTTTAGCTTGATTCATGGCCATGATCCTTCTGTCTCCTCGTTGCTGATCTTGGTTTGCTTCTTGACCATCATCCTTATGACTAATCATGGCTGACCTTGGTTTGACTCTTGACCATGATCCTTCTGACTACTCATGGCTGACCTTGGTTTGATTCTTGACCATGATCCTTCTGACTACTCGTGGCTGACTTTCGTTTGCTTCTTGACCATGATCCGTCTGACTACTCATGGCTGACCTCGGTTTGCTTCTTGACCATGATCCTTCTGACTGCTCATGGCTGACCTTGGATTGACTCTTGACCATGATCCGTCTTGCTACTCATGGCTGACCTTGGTTTGCTTCTTGACATGATCCTTCTGACCACTCGTGGCTGACTTTGGTTTGCTTCTTGACCATCATCCTTCTGACTACTCGTGGCTGACCTTGGTTTGCTTCTTGACCATGATCCTTCTGACCACTCGTGGCTGACCTTGGTTTGACTCTTGACCATGATCCTTCTGACTACTCGTGGCTGACTTTGGTTTGCTTCTTGACCATCATCCTTCTGACTACTCGTGGCTGACCTTGGTTTGCTTCTTGACCATGATCCTTCTGACCACTCGTGGCTGACCTTGGTTTGACTCTTGACCATGATCCTTCTGACTACTCGTGGCTGACCTTGGTTTGCTTCTTGACCATGATCCTTCTGACTATTCGTGGCTGACCTTGGTTTGACTCTTGACCATGATCCTGCTGGTTACCCATTGTTGACCTTGGCTTGTAAATAAAATTTGATATAGTGTGATTTTGATGTTTGTCCCACATATATTCCAAGTCCATGCTATATTCAAATTCTCTCTCTTTTCTTTGTTACCCCCCAAAAATTTATTTTTTTTTTACGAGAACAGAAACTAATGCAAAGACCCAATGCTCTTCCCCCCGACCTACCTAACATAAGGAGGCATCTTCACTTAGAACAGCATAGAAAATGAATCACAAAAGGGCCCTTCTTGTCCTTACTTTTTTTCCGTCATTTATTTAAGTAATGCTTCGTAATCAGAAAAAACAAAACAAAAACAATAAAAAGCACGACCTGTGTTTTCTGCTTGGAAAGGTTCCAAGGCATCCCCTTTAATTGGTGTCAAATATGAAGCGTATAATTGTTTAATTTGATTTGCTTGCATGCAATTTTTACTTACACAAGCAGATATCGTGGCTCCTCTGGAGAGGAAGGTCCCTGGGGGTGAGATTAAATATTTTGGCTGTTTTCTTACAGAATTGCATTGGATTTTGGGCTTGCGAAGATGAGAAACTACTTGTTTACACTCGGCGGAAATGCTGCGTATCATCGTTTGTACAGCAACAATGTATATTATATGAGGCAGTATGGAGAAAATAGTCCATTAGGTCTTATTAAAGATGACTCACGAGGGTTTTTGTAGCTATAAAATATAATCACGAGATATTTTTTTTTTAAATTCATATATTATCTGGAACCAGGGCTTTTTTTCAGTGCGAATGTGTGGGAACGCAAGTTGCGGCACCTCCAGCACTGAATGTATGTAATGGCAAGGAGTGCTATTGATGCTGGCTGCTGGGGGATCTATTGTTGCTAGAGGGAATCTATTTTTGCCTGGGGGGTCCATTGTTTCTGGGGAGGTCTGTTGTTTCTGGTGGGGGATCTGTTGCTGCTAAGGGGGTCAAATGTTGCAGGAGAGGGTCAGTTGTTGCTGGTGGGGGATTGATTGTTGTGGGTGGGGGGGTCAATGGTTGCTGGAAGGGAGAGATCTATTGATGATGGCTACTGGAGGGTGTGTTGATGCTGGTTACTGGGAGATCTGTTGTTGCTGCTGGGGGTCTATTGTTGCTGGGGTGGGGGTCAAATGTTACTAGAGAAGGACAATTGTTGCTGGTGGGGGATCTGTTGTTCCTGGGGAGGGTAAAATGTTGCAGAGAGGGTCAGTTCTTGCTGGTGGGGATCTATTGTTGTTGGGAAGGGGGGTTGTTGCTGGAGATGGTCAATTGATGCTGGTGGGAGATGTATTGTTATTGGGTAGGGGGAAAATGTTGCGGGAGAGGGTCAATTGTTGCTGGAAGGGATCAATTATTGCTGGAAAGGATCTACTGTTGAGGGACAGATCTATTGATGCTGGCTACTGGAAGGTCTATGCAGCCAAGTTGTTGCTGGTGGGGGATCTATTGTTGTGGAGGGGTCAAATGTTGCTGGAAGGGATCAATGGTTGCTGGAAGGGACCTACTGTTGAGAGAGAGATCTATTGATTCTGGCTGCTGGAGGGTCTATTGATGCTGGTTGTTGGGAGATGTGTTGTTGCTGCTGAGGGTCTATTGTTGCTGGGGCGGGGGTCAAATGTTGCTAGAGAAGGACAATTGTTGTTGCTGGTGAGGGGATCTATTTTTGCTGGGGAGGGGTCAAATGTTGCAGGAGAGTGTCAGTTGTTGCTGGTAGGGGATCGATTGTTGTGGAGGGGTCAAATGTTACTGGAGGGGATCAATGGTTGCTGGAAGGGATCTACTGTTGAGGGAGAGATCTATTGATGCTGGCTACTAGAGGGTCTATTGATGCTGGCTGCTGGAGGATCTATTGATGCTGGCTACTGGAGGGTCTATTGATGCTGGCTGCTGGGAGATCTGTTGTTACTGCTGGGGGTCTATTTGTGTTGGGGTGGGGGTCAAGTGTTGCTAGAGAGGATCAGTTTTTGCTAGTGAGGATCTATTGTTGTTGGGGAGGGGGGAATTGTTGCTGGTGGAAATCAATGGTCGCTGGAAGGGATCTACTGTTGAGAGTGAGATCTATTGATGCTGGCTACTGGAGGGTCTATTGATGCTGGCTGCTGGGAGATGTGTTGTTGCTGGTGGGGGTCTATTGTTTCTGGGGGTGGGGGTCAAATGTTTCTAGAGAGGGTCAGTTTTTGCTGGTGGGGGATCTATTGTTGCTGGGGAGGTCAAATATTGCTGGAGGGGATCAATGGTTTCTGGAAGGGATTTATTGTTGAGGGAGAGATCTATTTATGCTGGCTTCAGGAGGGTCTGTTGATGCTGGCTGCTGGGAGATCTGTTGTTGCTGCTTGGGGTCAAATGTTGCTAGAGAGGGTCAGTTTTTGCTGGTGGGAATCTGTTGTTGCTGGAGAGCGGTCAAATGTTACAGGAGAGGGTCAGTTGTTGCTGGTGGGGGATCTATTGTTGTGGAGGGGTCAAATGTTGCTGGAGGAAGTCAATGGTTGCTGGAAGGGATCTACTGTTGAGAGAGATCTATTGATGCTGTCTACTGGATGGTATACTGATGCTGGCTGCTGGGAGATCTGTTGTTTCTGCTGGGGGTCTATTGTTGTTGGGGTGGGGGGGCAGGGGCGGACTGACAACTTATGGGGCCCCTCGGCAATAGGGGATCATGTGGCCCCTGTGTCCTTGCCCAAACTCAAAAAAACTATGAAAAAGGTACCCGTGGCATCTCATGGGGCCCCCTACTGACCCCTGGCTCTCGGGCAGAGCCCGAGTTTCCAAATGGTCAGTCCACCCCTGGGTGGGGGTCAAATGTTGCTTAAGAGGGTCAGTTCTTGCTGGCGGGGATCTATTGTTGTTGGGTAGGGGGGAATGTGTTGCAGGAGAGGGTCAATTGTTGCTGGAAGGGATCAATGGTTGCTGGAAGGGATCTACTGTTGAGGGAGTGATCTATTGATGCTGGCTACTGGAAGGTCTATTGATGCTGGCTGCTGGGAGAACTGTTGTTGCTGCTGGGAGTGTTTATTGTTGTCAGGGTGGTATTTTGTTGCAGGAGGTCCACTGTTGCTGGGGGGGAAGGATCTATTGTTACTGACTGCAGGGGATCTATTTTACTGCTTTTCTTGTTATCATCATCAAAATGCATACAAATGACTTAGCACCACAAAATCTTAATTGGTATTATATTCTCTAAAAGGGACAGTGCTCGGAGGTGGGTAGGGAGTGGAACCAAGGGACAGTGCTCAGAGGTGGGTAGTGGGTGGAGCCAAGGGACAGTGCTCAGAGGTGGGTAGTGGGTGGAGCCAAGGGAGAGTGCTCAGAGGTGGGTAGGGGGTGGAACCAACGGACAGTGCTTGGAGGTGAGTAGGGGTTTGGAACCAAGGGATGGTGCTTGGAGGTGAGTAGGGGTTGGAACCAAGGGATGGTGCTCAGAGGTGGGTATGGGGTGGAACCAAGGACAGTGCTCAGAGGTGGGTGGAACCAAGGGACAGTGCTCGGAGGTGGGTGGGGGGTCGAATCAAGGGATGGTGCTTGAAGGTGGGTAGGGGGTGGAACCAAGGAACAGTGCTCAGAGGTGGGTAAGGGGTGGAACCAAGGAACGGTGCTCAGAGGTGGG